CCCCCCTCCCCACCACACACACAGAAAAAACCCCAACGGAGTTGAGAATATCCAGGATTTGTTGTATTACTGCTGTCGGGTGTGGGGGTGGCAGTTTAGTGGTCTGTCCCATTCAACATCCACTCTTCGTTAAATCTTGCAGCTAACTTGGAGTGTAAGGGGGAAAATGCAAAAACCGCAATCCTTACCAGCAAGTCAATGTCAACTTTTAACCCAGTTGCCAACCAAGTAGGATCTATCAACAAATGTAGAATATGAACAAGCTCATTATCTCTATACATTTGCAGTATGTCATCCAGCATCGTCTTCATTCTGCAAAATTCTATGTGATTTGCTTCCCTCAATGTGAGCAACTTGGCAAGCTGCAAAATAGAGAAGATAAATAACATACCAATAAGAACTCTTAAATACGGTTTTGGCTTTTTGAAAAAAAGGCAAAGAAGAGGATTACAATGAGGACTGTGGAGTACTAAATTTGAAAGAGAAAACACTAGAACAATAAGTATTACTAGTAATACTTATTTGAACCCTATGACTGATCGTAGACTGTTAGAAACAATTTGCTTAGGAGTGATGTGCCGAGAAAATGAGAAGAGATGCCTCTGCATAACGCACAATAGTGACATTAGTTTATTATTTGAGAGTTTAACCCTCATTTATCTAGGCTTATTTACACAAATATTTCACCGACACTGAATGTTTAGTGCGATATAAAATAGATACAGAGTAGTTTATAACCAATGCTGGAGGATGAACTATAGCTCTTCAAATAAAATACACTACATGTAGATTGACATTCAAAATGGTCCTCTTACCAATGTTAGAGCATGTTATGTTTTTGTATAAAATACACTAAAATACAAAAGCTCTATGTCCCAACTCCCAAAAAATGGAGTCAACTTGCTACATGTGGTTTATCTTGTGCCATCCTTCCTAACATGATTTTACATGTGCCATAAATGTTTTCTTTTTCCATTAATAATCAATGTTTTGCATGTTTGTAAGTACTAAGACAACGGTAATCGCATGCTACTTTAAATATGACTTATGGAACTAATATCTTTTGAGCAATTACATGGCATTATAGCAAGCACTGAAATGTCACATTTAATTGATATTTTGTTATGAACTGGGATTTTGGGCATCACAAGAATTAATTAAGATGATAAAACAAAAGGAAATAAAACTTGTATGAGTTCTTTCCTCTGGAAATTAGAGAGTTTTCCTTCTCGTTGATTTTTATTCATAAGAGGAATCTCCTTTACACAGAAACCAACAAGGTAGCTTACGTAAGGAAAATCTCTTCTAAAAGGAAAGATAACTCCAAATTGAAATATAAAATCAATCAATGCTACTTGGGAATCAACTAATGATAATCGGAAATTTAAAGCTTGTCACATAGCCTTTACATTCTCTATTGATTGATTTAATCATGAGATGTAATATTCCACAATGACAGTCTAAACATATCAAATTTTATTTCTATCACAAAAGGGAGGTTTATGCCATCACATTCAATTATAAAAGAAATGCGTTTCTATTCTTGAAAATGCTACTGTAGCTGATCTACAGTTCAACAAAGTAATTAAAACTGAATAAATGAATAACTTGAAAGGAAATTTAAGCCAAAATAGTCAAGTATGACATGTGCAAAGTGAGAGCAGCCACGGCTTGATATAAAAATTAATATCTTTGCCAAGAAGGCATTTAAAATGCAGCGCTGAGAAGCCAAAAACTAAAATAAATTGAATGGGGGAATTTTAGTAGTAGCAATTGATATTAATGAAGGACAACCTTTGAGGATGAGAGACAAGTATATTCCGGAACCGAAGATGTTACATCCATCATAAGTCGGCATGCTTCTGCAAAAGCAAATCCAACCTTACTACCGAGAATATATAATCATAATTTGTACCAAGCACTGACCATACGTGCTCAAGAAAAAGAACTCAGAGAGACATAAATAGGTGTGAAAACTAGAAAACATTCACAAGCAAGATTCTTTGTCAGTAAGTCAGACCCTCTTCCCAACCCTCATTGAAAAAAAAGTAAAACGTGGAATCCTATCAAAAGAAAAAAGAGTCCAGATACCAGTAATGCTTCAAGGAAAAACACACTCTACCAACATCATCATGATTACTATTGTTACGGTTATTATTCCTTATGTCCCAAAGTATTTGTGACATCATCATTATTACTACTGTTACGGTTGTTATTATTCCTTATGTCCTAAAGTATTTGTCCAGTATTCCTTTTTAGACGGACCATCCCAATGTAATTGTCCACTTTCCATTTAAGGAAAAGGAATAAAGTAACATTGACTTATTTGCACCTACCTAATACTCTAATTCCCCTACCCAAAAAATAAAAGGGCATTATGATCATTTCTCTTTTTTCTTTCTCCTTGGTCCATGTGCCAAAAGAGATGTGGACAAATACACTGGGACAGAGGGACTACTTTGTTGTTAAAATGGATTAAATCAAAATGGTGCATCAAACATTCCTTGCCTCTTGCTTTTAATGAAGCATTGGGCAGTAAAACACAAACATCCTCTCTGGTTTTTATAGGAATAAGGTTGTGTACATCTAGACCGCCAAACCCTACCAGAGCTGGGAATATAATACGTTTCTTGTTTTTGTATTACCGTTATTATCAAACACTAGCAACCAAGGTCTTTCTGAAAAAGCCTCTCTGCAAAATGATGGCATCAATGATCTAAAGCCTCCAGACAATCCAGATCAAAGAGATCAAGTTTAGAAATTCAGGCAGTACCTTGGATTTTAGATGCAATCTCATATGTAGGTGGATTCAGAAGGAGATTTCTTATGTACCTGGTAGGTATAAATAACAAAACCAAGGATAACAATATGTCATTTTACTACGTCATATATGAGAACAAAGAACATTCACACACACAACAAATGCAAAAATCAAATGTGTATCAGAACAGGACAAAAGTAGAATATCATGAACTGATGTGGACGCATTTGTGAAAATTTAAAGCAGGGAAGCCTAGAACTCTAGCAGGACTCCACAGTGCATTGGACTTCTATTCCAAAACCAGTTCTCAATAAGTTCTAATTGCCTACGTTGTACTTTATAGTTGAGATTTATTCCCTAGATAGTACTCCGTAGAAAATGTTTCTTAAATGTCGATTAAGTGGAGGGTATTTTGATATTTTTCATCATCTAAACTTAGCATTAGTTCTCAAAATGATCATTTCTAATGAAGTGTTTTGTTCAAAATGGTCTTTTCTTTTTTCTTTTTTTTTTTGAAAATCAATATGGTCTTTTCTAATTAAGGAGGTGTATTTGATTCAAATTTTAAAATATTTTGACAGATTTTAAATAATACATGGATTTTGTATAGTCAATGATTGTATTAATTTTACATGAAATTGTATAGAAATGACCATTTTGAGAATTTACTTTAAGTTTAGATGATGGAAATACCAAAATACCCTCCAATTAATCACCATTTAAGTGACAGTTTTTACAAAGGACTACTTATGGAATAAATCTCAATTATAAAGTATCACATAAGTAATTAGAACTTATTGAGGACTAATTTGGAAAAAACACCTCATTAGAAAGGACTATTTTGGGAATTTACTCTTATTAGTATTACCCTGTAATAGTTTTGAAGTTAGGTATCATTGTTATCAAACATTTGTTATCAAATGTTTGGATTATCTCCATAATTACCCTTCCAGAGATATCAAATATTCAGATTTAGACATACTAAATTTTTAATCTGTATAACACACTGCAACCCCCCTCCTTTTTTGTGTGGGGTGGAGGGGGGATACTTTCTAAAGATATCATCCAAACAATTTGCAATACTGTTTCATTCCATGTATGTGAGAAGTTTGCTTACATCTTTAGGGTACTCATAAGTTGGTAGAACTTAGCTGACCGGTAAGGTAGGATAACATAAAATATGTGCTAGAATATATTTCCCACTTACAGAACAGGTAGACCTGTGCAATGTGGCGGAAGCAACACCTTTAGCAAAGAAGGAATTCCTTCTGTTGGTATTGCACCTATTCATATGATTCATCAAAGTTGTTTTAAGAGCAAACGATAATGCATTCGCTTATATTAAAAACTAGCACTTTGTATCATCCAGAGCTTAAATTTTACCTATCTGTGTGGCAGTTCCTAAGAGCAAAGGGCGTGGTCTATTTTCAGATGCAACGGTAGCATTTCTAAAAGTGGCATCACAATCAAGACCATAAATTTCTTTCACCTGTAAGATGGACCCAAGTTACAAGGGATAAGGCTTAGTTGTTACATGTACAAAAGGTGGACATGACAGGCATAAGAAAAGAGCAAACAACCATTCAATACAGACCTTAGACAAGAGCGCATTTGTTGGATCACCGTCCAACCACTCATAGTTTCTTGCACTACATTCTCCCCACAGCAGCCCACCATCACCAAACTCCCCCCAGCGAGAAGTTCCTGCAAGAAAATCTCAAATGCAAAGAGAGGAACTTCCAGCATGGTGAAATATTGAACAAAATAATTGGCATAGATGTACCAAACTTGTGAAATACAAGTACGTACTATGTCAGAAAAAATTATGAAATTGAATATCACACAACACCAGTCAATGTAATTGCTGGTACATCCTTAAACTAACATTCCAGATAATTTTAGTCCACTGCAAACCCACCCCTAGTTCTGTAACACTTGTTTTGGAATGGTTAATCCATGTTAACATTAATGCTCTGCTTGAATACCCTTAGAATTAGAAAAAAATAAAAATCACTGAACCACATAGCAAACAAAAAAATGTAGGCTTCTAGCAATTCAATGGCTAAACAATGATGAAGATAGAATGTATCATGAACCCCAATTCCTTTCAACTCCAATGGGGAAAAATGAAAAGAAGGAAAAATAAGAGAGTGACATTGCTAACCTGCTGAATTATATTTCAATGAAGTATGCAAAAATAAATGATGAGACAAAGTAGTTCGAAGTTTAGTAACTAATGCTTCCTCGGTCAGCCCATCCTCAGTGGAGTACGTCTTTGTAGTTTCCAGAACAGATATGATGCAATACCCCTTAGCTGAACGAGATAATCCTAGGACCACAAGATTAAGCCTGAGTATGATCAGTCTAAACTCTAAAATTGGCTACAAAAATGCAAGAACAACTAGAATCATTACAAAATAACACAAAAAAAGATGGAAGAGACCAAAATAACAGCAAATTATAGTGGATATTTTAGCATACCAACTACTGGCATTGGCTCTGGAAAATCAAGATCATGGTCATCTCCAACAAGTCCAAATACATAAGGATTACCAGGATGTGCATGCCTAAATGATCAAGATTTATCAAGTGAGATGTATATCGAAAAGTAAAAATGAATAGTAGAAAGCAGCTAGCCAGCCAGTGTAAAACTTTCTTTAGTACTATTAACTCTAGACCTTGGTTAAAATGACACCAAGGCTTGGTGCCACAATATGACACCGGCCAAATTAGGCCACCTATGGTGCTCCAATCGAAAAATTAATTGTTCCTACCCCCTAGGCCCCACCCCATCGCACCCCTCCAACCCAACATTTGTTGGTTCTGAAGTCAACTTCTGACTCCAAAGTAAACAAACTTTGGGGGGTGCAATTGGATGAGATGCGAGGTGCGCTCCTGGGGGGTTCCCGGTTTTAGGAGGGATATGAACCATCAAATTTTTCATCAGAGCATCGTAGGGGGCAATGTCATGCTATGACATGTGTCATTTTAACCCCCCCCCCCCCCCCGCATTAACTCTATTACAATGTAGTATGACTAGTATCTACCCATGCACACTTTCTCAACCTATTGAAGCACAAAGAATCAATACCCATATTGGGGTTTGAACATGTGACCTAGGCACAATTACGCCGCTCGACCACAAGGTCTTAGGCCCCACGTGAAATGGAAAAGCATCCATCGCTTCTCCCATTCCCCACGTGTGATGTGCAATTTTGCGTGTGAATGGTATCACTATGAGAACAGTTTTCGTTTAATATTGTAATCCTCCCCTCCACCATTCTTGACTTTTTGTACTTTTGGCTAGTATACCAACCGTAGTGTAAAAGCTTAAACCTATTTGACATTTAAAAACTTGGGGGGGGGGGGGGGGGGGCATATAGAGTATATGTGAAAGAGTCCAAGGTCAAAGTGGTGACAAACTATGTAAATATGCCTTGTACGGCATAGAGAATGCCAATTGATTTGTATGTATTTACAATGCCAAGACCCTTAAATCCAAAGTCAAAGTTTCAAAAACTGGGGGATATCACACATGGGAGCGCTTGGAGGTCAAAGATTAGGGCGATAGGTTAGACCTTGGTGGGAGTGGTCTTTTCATGTGTAGGACTTGTTGCTCTAGCTGGATGCAGTTGGGTGTGTGTTTGGTTCTATTTTTTGCATCTCTCTTTCTCTACTTTTTCCCCTTTACTTGTTGACTTGTTCTTTATGGGTTCTCTTGTGTTGTGTTTTGAGTTGAGGATCTCTTGAAAACAACATCTTTACTTTATGGGTAGGGGTAAGATCTGCGTACATCCACCCTTCTTAGACCCTACTTTGTGAAATTTTAATGGGTATGTTGTTGTATGGGGATATTGTGTAGGTACATGTCTTATACTAGTCAGAAAGAAATACTATCTTTGTCCCAAATATATTCATCGAATTGGATCTTTCATGGTCACCTAAGTGAACATTTGACCGTGTTTATCTAACATATCAAATTTAAAAACATTACATTACAAGAATTTTGTAAAAATTGTTTTGATGACAATTATAATAAAATGATTTTGTGTTATTATGTAATTAAATTTTTATTTAATCGATGGTCATAAATTAGTCAAGTTTGATTAAAAAAATCAAACTGGATAATGTACAAGAATGGAGGGAGTATGTGTTTTGCTGTGTCACGGGTAAATAGAATAAGAAGGTTGGAGCTTTTTTGAATAAACTCCCAACTTTTTGAAGAGCAACTCAAAGGGTTTTAGAGAAACTCCGTAACCCTAGAACAACAGTTCTTTTTTAATAAATCACCCCAAATAGGAGTAAAACATAACATTTATCCTCAAAATAAGAGCTTCATGCTTTTATCCCCAAAATAGGAGTTTGCACTTTGACATTATGACACAGTATAGTGGCATCCCACTGTACTTCGGAGTACTATATATTGGCATTATTGGCAATGTACTCTTATTTTTGGGATAAAAAACATGGAGCTCCAGCTCCTATTTAGGTACTTTCTCCATGTTTTACTCCTAGTTTTAGTCCTTTTCCCTTCTTTTTTTCTTAACTTCCAATTGGATATCGTGATAAATGTAAACCAACTAAGTGATTTGCAAACCAAAAGTATTTGACAGAAGTCAAATAACAAAAGAGCAAACTAAATACAGTATTTTATTGTGATTGCAAATCAAGACTAGGGTGAGAAAATAGACATTCTTCCTTCACTCAGCCAACTTGTTTAATCAGAGACCACATTGGAAAGAAAACTACAAACATATATAGAAGGATTACAAACTGCAAGTAGGACATGAAAGAAACTGCAATTTAACAATTACCCAGATATAAAGCGACTTTTACGAGAACGAGCTTGAGTTGGACCTTGAACTTCCTCCACAATGCACTGTACTTAAGTAATGTGAAAGCAATTAAAAAAGAAAACACATCATCATAACTTAGCATTAAGATGCAGTCTCATAAAGTAGTATGCCTAAAGCTATGATACTTACAACTGAAAATCCATTACTTGTCAGGCCATCCAAAGTCTGTCTTAGATTCTGTAGAAAAAATATGTGAAAGAACATATGAAGAAAAAAAGTATAAATTTGAGAAAGTTCACATAAAGTTACAGTAGCAATCAATGGGAAATGCAATCATAATAATAATAACAATAAAAATAATAAAAATAAACAGTAGTAATAATACATCGAAAAGGAGTACGTATGGACAATAGAGACTCTACTGGATACTTGTAGTTGCTTTTGATTATAGTAGGGCAACAAGACACTCCATGGTTCTAAACTTCTTATTTCTTCATTCATACGATATGTACCTCCCGAGTATTTCAGATGTAATATAAGTCAATCATTTCATATACCGAAAGAGGCCTGATTAACACACAAAATCTGCAACTTATTTTTGTTTCTTGACCCCGATGCCTGACCCCAACAGAGTTGGGATTATATTGGGTTTGTTGTTGCAATATATATATATATATATATATATATATATATATATATAGACTTTTAAATAGGGCAAAAGAACGACATGTGTGTATGAACAACAAATATTACAGTACCATAACCGGACAACCAGCTTTTGGTATGCTGTCTGAACGAAGACCGCCACATGGATTTAAGCCAGCATACTCCACAAGTATACAAGCATCAAAACCTACGGCCTCATAGAACTCACCAACCTGGGACATGCAAAAAGGCATGAACTCTTAATAAGTGCCATCTGATAGATGAATTCAATTGGAACTTAAAACTGCCCTAGACATAAAAAGGTGTAAAAGGAGAAGCCTTATATACTTACTCTGCACAGCAAAACCTCGCGAGGAAATCTAGACTTGAACTTCAACATCTCCCAAATAAGTGTTCCTTCTTTCAAACTAAAGTAAACAAGAAACTTCTTAGTTAAAATTTAATTGAACTCTGATCTCTCAATCTTTCCAATTTTCTATAGCAATAAGATGAGCAAACAACATCATGATTAAACAATACTAAATGTGAAAGGGGGGCCGGGATGAAAGGGTAATGTAGACACCAAAAATTAGAAACCCACCTCCCATTCCTTAATTCTGAATTTACACCCAATAGGTTAGAATATGTGAGCCTCTTAACTAGGTTAATAGAAGAAGGCTTTCTCGACCTCTCCACCATCTGAAATATTATACTCCGTAACATAGATATGAATACATGCAACATTATAAGTATGAGTGTCGCGTGTGAGAGACAGAAAGGACAAACAGTTAATGAAGCACGTAGCCCACCTCCTTCCACCACATAATATGAGAATAGTTCCTTTCATCTGGTTTAGCCTCTATGTGCATGGTTTCTGTTGTGGACTTTGCATGAAGCTTTCGCTCATTGATGCAACGAATCTGGTCAAACCGCCGAATGCTAGAGAAAATTACAGCTTGAAATGTATCACCCATGTTTTGCGCCACAAGATGAATAAATGTCAAATACTAACATTTATTAAAATGACATAGATTACACAAAAGATTACATAGACTCTTCAATTTTCAGTTTATCACAAAGATACACAATAGTATATACTCCATAGTTCCAATGTAATGTTGGAGCTTTTTAAAATTCTCGAAAAAAATAAAATCACAGGCACGATACATTTTAGTTTTCTTTTGCACATACAAATAGCATACCTCTTACAGTATGTTCACATGGAAAGGGAATATTACCTGAGGAAACATACTAAACATTTCTTAAGTTTGGTCAATAAGTAAATAAAGGAGTAGGTTAATGGGTGGAGACATCCAACCCTCTCATTTCTTTCATATATTATCTCTACAGATTAGAGGGAAATGAAAGTATAGAGAGGTCTGCTACTAAAAATGATCATAAATTGTTATGTTATTCCCTTCCACTGCCTTTATAGTGCATACGAGAAAAAATGGAAGTAGAGAAAAACAAAATTGTACTTTACTCTCCGCATGGAAGTATAACAATAGACCTAATATAATCTCCCACCTCTGTTGGAGTTTGGGGGTCAAGATGTACGCAAGCTTACCCTAGAGAGAGGTTGATTCACTTATACACTCATGCATTTACTACTCGAATTTTGGTAGAAATAAGTAAGAGAAGTTTAATTTGCCATTTAGATCTAATCCATTATTTACTCGGAACTAAATCATTGCCAAAAATGACTCTTTCAGCTCCATTGCCCATAATTTAATCTCATAGGGGAAAAAATCATATTCCTTTTTAATTCAATCACTTCCTATCCTTTGCCTAAACATGTTGGATCGTAACAAAGTTTGGTTCCATCTCATTTCCTCCTTTATAATCGCACCCCTCTGTCTCCTTAAGTAACCTCTCCCCATGTGCACATCACATCCCTTTCCATGTCACCAAAGAAAAACATTCAGTCACAATACAATTCTTCGCCTCCAAATGAGTATTCCGAGCCGATGAAATTTGTCAGCCAGTTTTTCTGGCAAAATGCAAGTGAGTACACATTTTACTCACTAAAAAATGCTTTTGAAAACCCTTGCCTGGTACACAATTAACACAAATACATCCAAAGTATACACCTTTATATTCAAGAAAATCCGGTCCATCAAAACAAAGACAGCAAACATACACAAGATTTCTAATATAAGAAACATGTTCTATTTGCATCGCATTCTCGAACAACCCCGGATGGATATTCTTCAAAAAAAAAACAATAGAAATGATGAAACGCAAGAACAGGGGAAGACTTACATAGGGTTAAGCGGGGAGGAAGGCGAGCAGCGACGGCGGTGGAGAGGCCGCAAGAGAGAGTGGGACAGATGCCGCCAGCGACAGGCTGAAACGACGGCGTTTTTTACTGTTAACCGGGACATGGTCTCGCCGGTGTCTGGGAGCTCAGTCCTGCTGAACGGAGTGGCCGCTTTTAGCATAACCTGATGACAATGGGGAGTCCGAACTCCGAAGTGAGTGTGGTGCTTTCTTCTTCCCGCCAGAAGAGACGCTGAGCGCCCAGGACCCACTAGGTTTTGGGATGTTGAAGAAACAAGCTGTTTGAAATATGGAAAACAAAACTTGGAAAAAAAAAGTCAAAAAGCTTAGAGGGGTTAGAAAAATTAAAATGAGGTAAAAAAAAAGGAGTGAGTAAGAGCTTAAAAAATAGAAAAATTGAAAGAAGTTGGGAGAAATATTGAATGCAGTACAAGTGATCTATAATTTTTGAGTACTCATTTACGAGTCACTAAATACTCATTTTCGAACAAGTGAGCGTTCAATCTCAAATAATTGAGTACTCATTTCTCTAAAAATCAATCATGCTCGTAAATGAACATGCAATTAATCAAAAATGAGTATTTTGTAACTCAAAAATGAATATTCAATTACTCGGCAATTAATATTCATGCAGATATACGTAAAATTCTGTATAGTAAGTCTGGATGTATGATATATGCATTAAATGTTGAGTTTATGAAGTCCATCAAAGGGCAAATTCAATAGTGGAGTTAAGGTCCACTATGTACCTACATATGAGCAAAATAAATATTTTTTACTATCTAAAGTAATTACTTTGATGTTAATTTTCATCATAAGTTAAATACGGAGTATGATTTTGAGTAAATAAAAAATATAAATCAAAACTACACCTTAAAACAAATTCAATTGTATTAAAATAATATTACAATTAAATATATTTTTCTCACAATTTATAATTAAAGTTTGTCTAAAATTAAACTATGACAAATTGTTACTCGTAAAAATTTCATTTAAACTCAAGTTTGGGAAAAGATGTGTTCTCATATTTTTAAAACCAATCGTTGTTAATTACTAGGGAAGATGACTAAAAATTGGAAGTATGTCACGTAAGAAAATACCAAAATAGGAGTACAATAGTAATAATACCAATACGTAATACAAAAAATACAGTGAAATGTCATTATACAGTGTCATAATGTTACAATGCAAATCCCCATTTTAAAGATACAAAATGAAACTTTTATTTTGGAGATAAATGTTATGTTTTACTTTTATTTCAGACGAATTCGTTAATTACTATCTTCGTTCAAAGTATTTGTCCAAATTTAATTTTTTTACAATTGAAATTAACAAACATTGATCATAAATTAAGTAAAAATAGTATTAGATTTTGATATAAAAAATAAGTTTATTAAATTTATTTTTAAATTTTTTCAAGAAATCACCCTAAATAAGAGTAAATATAAAAAAAGTATTACTAAAATAGGAGGTCTATATTCTTTATCCTCAAAATAAAAGCGTACACTATGATTGACTTTGTATGTGCATTTTACTCATATTTTGTGAATAGAAATATAAAATTTTTAATTTAATATGTTTTATATTTTATTCATATTTTAGTTTTTTTCCCATTTTTCACAATATTATTTTTTAATTACGGAATACTCCGTAATATACTACGGAGTACATAATTTTTATTTAATTAAAATATTGGTTATGGTGGACCAATACAATTTACAAAGTTTAACACTCCTATTCCTTAGACGCCGGACGCCGTCTCCGTGGAGTCTGTACTCTAGGACTCTCTAGTAAACTTCTACTAGTATTCTGACTCGTGCCATGCACGTAGTCGAAAGAAATTTATGTCAATTCTAAATTATTTCAATGAAATTTATTTTTTGGAATAAGGAAAATATAGTGCTCACATGATTTTTAATACTACAAATGAAAAAAACCAAAGTAAAATAAATAATATTTGAGGATAGAGTTAACAATGTTTATTTTAATATCAAATTTTTTGAAAGACTTCAAGTTATACAACATTTTTGGTATGGTTGCAAGGGTTTCCATTGTCATCTAGAGCTAATATTTTTAATCTTGTCTTTGTCTTCACTCGTAAAACAGCAAAATATAGTTGATCATGTGTGAACATTAACTTGATTAAAAATAATCCCACAAATGACAATGTTTGACCTTGACTTTTGTTGATAGTCATAGCAAAACATGAGACGATCGGGAATTGTCTTCTTTGGAACTTCAAGGGTAGCCTTGGATCAGATGATACCAATTAAATTTATTCTAAGGATGTAAACTTTTTCCCTGACTTGATTTTTTGAAACCATAATTGCACCGATAACATTATTTCACAGCTCTTGAACGATTAATCTTGTCCCATTATACAATCCAGATGTTTGGTCAATGTTCCTTAATAGCATAATCGGTACTCCTTTTTCAAGACTATTTTGTGGTTTGGGATTCCCGAACATTTGATTTCGTTCAAAAACTCAACTGTTATCCAATCGCCATCAAAACCTACATTTGCTTCTGCTTGGCACGAAGCATCAGAACTCAAGTACTCCTTTTCATCACCATGGATGAGGGACAGAACAAATTCATTTATCATTTCCACTAATTCGAGAGTTGGTGCAAATAATGCTCTATTCTCAAAAAAAAGAATAATTTTTCATATTCACGAACATAAGTCATTTCCCAATATAAGACTTGAACTTTTTCAAATTTTTCATTTTTCATTTTTCAAATTTTTCATTTTTCAAACTTTTTCCCAATATAATTTTTAAAATTTTTCATTTTTCATATTTACACTAAATAGCACTAAAACAAAAGTCATCTTCTAATATAAAACTTAAATTTTTTATCCCTTAAATAACACTTAATAGTGTCTAGAAAGAAAAATAATATACTGTGACAGTGAACATTTAACTAAATAGTGACTAATGGATAATGACTAAAAGTGCTACATTGAGAAATAAAAAACATAAGTTGCTATTTAGGGAAAATCATTATGTTTTAGTGTTATTTAGGTAAATTTCTCTAACTATAAATAGATATATAGAGTATCAATTTATTTCAGTTGAACACAACTTAGTTGCCCTTTTGATAAATGAATTAGTCTTAGATATAAGTAAATTTTCAAATTTAAAAATTATATTTGAACTTTGAATTATTTACATTGATCATTGTATCAATGCCTAATTTTTTTTCCTCCCATGCATATCATTTTATTTTAAAATATGTACTCACATTTTTTTTATTCAACCATGCATTTAATATCAAATTTATTGCAAAGTTTTGAATTTTTTTTAAACAATTTATAAATATGAATATATTTTTACTCAACTTTGTTAATATTCGACCATTCAATTGTTTAAAATATTCAATATGTAATAAACTATTTTTTTCATAAGAAATATAGAAAAATGAAATTAAAGAGTCATGGTTAGACATCATTTTATTCCTATTGATGTAAATATAAAATTGATAAAAAATAATCAGTGAGCTATATGCATACCTAGATAAATCAACAATTATATATTTTAATTATCCATGATTTCTATGAAACCTATGAACGGCGTTTAATTTTTTTACCGATGCAGATTATAATTGATAAAATAACATGACTATAATTTAAAAAGTACACATATTTTTATCTTTTCCTGAAGTGTTCATTTTCACATGGAGAATTTGTTAAATTCTTCTAAAATTGACATCTAATTTTAAATTTTGTATAAAATTTTATTTGTTTAACATAAATTAATTTATCTATACTAACGATTTAGATATGAAGATAAGAAAATTTTTCAATGCTCATTAAAAAGCAACCATATAAATTTTAAATACAAAAATTCTGGTCACTAAAATATCTCGTTTGCTTTTGTTATTTTAAAAAAATAAAAATGTTATGTATCAAATTACCTTAAATCAATAAAACGAAATTAAATATATTAAGATAAAACAATATTTAAAGTACGTACCTTTTCTATCCTTTTTTTTGAAGTATTCCTTTCTCTTTTCTCTTGCATCTCTAGCTGATCTCGTCCGTGTATCGTCAACTTGATTTTCCATAGCCCTAATTGAAATTGAAAAATATGATGCTCCTACCACCAATCCTTTTAAAAATAAAAGGCTAAAGTCGAATTAACGATTCTCTACTTATTTATTGCATAATTAATTCTGAATGCCTATGTATTGAAATGGAAAATGAAAATGGGTGGTGGATGCCACATTTTAACTCATTATATATATTTTTTTATAATAGGATTTTGACCCAAGTATATAAGAGTTTTCATAAATTTGGATATAAAAGTGAGCAATTTAACTCATTGCGAGTTAGATATATAAGGAATTCAAAATAATATTGGGTCCATCCTAGATATAACGAATTCCTTACTAAAAATAAACAAATCCAGAATAATATTATTGATTATCCAATATACATAATTAACGATTGTCATATATAAGTAAAGGGATCCAAAATAATATTAGTATTATCAAATAGGTGATGAATAATATACTCATGATCATAATTTTCAAATTTAGTACTATTTAGGATTATTTTTTAATAATATTTTTCATAAATTTTTCAATCACCATATGTTAAAGATATAATCTATTCTTGGAAATCATATCATACCATTCATGGCTATGCATGAATCATTTTCCAATGCATGACCCTATTAGGATAGTTTCACATTTATTTATTTACTTACCTTTTGTGTTTTAGGAATGACTTTATTATGGTGAATTTCCTTGGTAAAGGATTAATATATGTAGCATGGTCTTAAAACTTTATTTAAATTAAATAAAAATATTATATTTTTTTCATTTTTAGATAGTATTTATATTTCTTCATATTTATTTTTAATTTTTTATATTATCATCGTAATTGGAGTTCGTATTGTTGTAATCTGAATACATATTTTTGCATTTAATATTATTGATTATCCAAGATACATAATTAAGGATTGTCATATATAAGTAAAGAGATCGAAAATAGTATTAGTATTATCCAAGATACATAATATAAGTAAGGTGATGAATAATATACTCGTGATAATAACTTACAAATTTAGTATTATTTTTTAATAATATTTTCCGTAAATTTTGTTAATGACCATATATAAGTAAGGTGATCAATAATATATATATACTTATGGAAGTAAGACAAATAAGTAAGAAATCAAAAATAGTATTGGAATTTCTATTAGTATAGGAACTCTATTGATTTCAACCTATATATACACGAATTTCCATTAATAAATCTTTGTTACTTATTAATTTAAGTATGAAATTTATAAATATGGAAGTAAGATAAAGGATTATTATATCTAGCATGGTTCTAAAATTCTATTTAAGTTAAATGAAAATTATTATATTTCTTTTTTTAAATAGTATTTATATTTTTTCGTATTTATTTTTAATTGTTTATATTATCCTCGTAATAGGAGTTCGTATTGTTATAATCTGAAAACATATATTAACATATAATATTATTGATTATCCAAGACACGTAATTAAGGATTTCCATATATATGTAAACAGATCCAAAATAATATTAGTATTATCCACATACATAATATAAGTAAGGTGATGAGTAATATACTCGTGATCATCATTTTCAAATTTACTATTATTTAGGATTGTTTCTTAATAATCTTTTTGTAAAAAATAATATTCTAATTTCCATTAATATAGGTACTCTGTTGATTTTAACTTTTATTGTATACGAATTTCCACAATAAACCTTTGTAACTTATTAATTTAAGTATGTAATTTTTAAATATGAAAGTAAGATAAAGGATTGATATATGTAGCATGGTCCTAAAATTCTATTTAACTTTGAAAAATATTATATTTATTTTTTAAATAGTATTTATATTTTTTCATATTTATTTTTAATTATTTTATATTATCATCATAATAGTAGTTTGTATTGTTGCAATCTGAAGGAAAGAATTTCGTTGAAGGTAAGTGATTTTCGTGTAGAAAATCTGCAGTCAATTGTTTTCAACGGGAGATCCGCTCGTGCATCGTATATAATTTATTTCTTTTAGTTTACTCGGATATTACGTGGCGTGCTGACATGTTTAAATTTTGCAACGTAGACATGCCAAATGTCTAATTTGTGTGAATCAGACTCTCCTTTATTATATTAAAGGATTTTCATCCAGGTCAGGGCAGTCCCAAATCTCAACCCTTACACAAATGGCCTCCTCTGCTACTGCCTCCATTTCTTCCATCGTCTCCGGCAAGGTTTTTCCATGGGCTCAAAATTCGATCTTTTTTCCTTGTATATTGGGGGTTTTGATGTTAATATGTATCCTAGCCCTTTTCTTTTGACAGAAAAATGTGGGGCTCTCAGCTTTCTCCTCTCAGCTACCCATCTCTGTTCAAACAGCCCGGAGAAAGTTTTGCAATAGAACTGTGTCCGTTATGGCACCACACCAAACGGGACATTCCCCTGCTGCCACAGGCTCGGTTGGTGTTTTTGTTACACTTACCATTGTCGAATGGGTCTTGGGAATTTTGTGGATTTAAGCGTTTATTATATTATTTTTATGTTTTTAAATTAATCATGTAGGTGAAGACGGATATGACCATGACTGAGAAGATTTTGGCAAAGGCTTCGCAGAAGTCTCACTTGATCCCGGGTGAGAATGTCTGGGTGAATGTTGATGTTCTGATGACCCACGATGTCTGTGGACCAGGTTCTATTGGGATTTTCAAGAAAGAGTTTGGGCAAGATGCTAAGGTAATTGCCACTGAGTTAGCTGATACTCAAGCTGAACTGAATTGACTTGAAAACTGTATTGAGTTTGGCCGAAAGTTCAAAACCAGAATTTGGACTGTCTTGAGAAGCTGAGAGTAGCCAAAAGTTCAAAGCTTCCTGATAATGGAGTTTCATCCATTCTTTGATTGGAGTTTATACGGTTGATTAGATTTTTTTATTCCTCTGTAGATGCTAAGATGATTATGATATGATGACTTGGATTTCATCATTATTTCAACACCAGGTATGGGATCGTGAAAAGGTTGTTATCATACCTGATCACTATATATTTACAACGGATGAAAGAGCTAACCGTAATGTGGATATCTTGAGGGACTTTTGCACTGAGCAAAGTATTAAGTATTTCTATGACATTAAGGATCTTGGAGATTTCCGGGTATTGTGCTAATGCCCTGTCCATTTATTGGTATTCAAACCAAAGTGTCCAAGATTTTGATTTCTGGTTGTTTTCTATTTCTGAGCAACTTTATTTCTAAACCTTGTAGGCCAATCCAGATTACAAAGGTGTCTGCCATGTTGCTCTTGCCCAAGAGGGTCATACCAGACCTGGAGAGGTCATTCACATTTACT